AAATATAATTTACTTATTTCATATATCCTCCCAATATATAATTCCTGAATGCGCTGAGCCTACATGGCTGCTTCTGGTGCTTCGGAATCCTACTTGGCGAAGAACGATGCTTCGTAATTAGGTTTGGACAAATAATATTTATATATTAATAATTAATAATCTAGGTTTGGACTTTCCATAAATATTATTTAGCTAACTTAGGTATTTTAATATCACTTGTACTAATATAACCCTCTAATTCCTTGTAATTTTACATAGTGAGACATTAAGTGACTAATATATCCATGACTTTTGATTTGTTTCCTTCAATTAGCTATTGAATTGTAAACGTATTTTAAAAGTTGATAACTTTTGTATTTCTTATCAGTTTTACATATATAATATATCAAATTAATCATCTTTTGATGATCTTCGGTTTGACATCCATATTGTATATAGTGAAATAAATAACTTATATTTATATTTATAATAATAAAAAGTAATTATAATTATTAAAATTCATTAGAAAAAAAATTATTTCCGAATGCGCTGAGTCTACATGGCTGCTTCTGGTGCTTCGGAATCCTACTTGGCGAAGAACCATGCTTCGTAATTAGGTTTTCTAATAATACTGATATATTAATAATTAATAATCTAGGTTTGAAATTTTTATAAATATTATTTAGCAAACTTAGAGATTTTAATATCACTTGTACTAATATAACCCTTTAATTCCTTGTAATTTTACATAATGAGACACTAAGTGACTAATATATCACTGACTTTTGATTTGTTTCCTTCAATTAGCTATTGAATTGTAAATGTATTTTAAAAGTTAATAACTTTGTATTTCTATCGATTTTACATATATAATATATCAAATTAATCATCTTTTGATGATCTTCGATTTGACATCCATATTGTATATATTGAAATAAATAAATTATAATTATATTTATTAAAATTCATTAGAAAAATAAAATTATTTCTCAATTGATATATTTATGTATAATGTAGTTATATGTTGTAAGTTAAAAAATTATTATAATATAACATAGGTAAGTCGCACAAATAAAAAGTGTCATACTAAATATATAATAATATATATTTATATAAAAGGTATTTAAATTTTTAACTATTTTTTCTCATTAATTTTAGATTTTAAGAAAAAAAAAATTAGCAAGCACCCATGTAGTACACGGGAGTTGTACTAGTACAATATGGATGTCAAATCATAAATCATTAAAAGAGATTATTTTGATATATTATATATGTAAAACCGATAAGAAATACAAATGTAATCAACTTTTAAAATACATTTACAATTCAATAGCTAATTGAAGGAAACAAATCAAAAGTAATGGATATATTAGTCACTTAGTGTCTCACTATGTAAAATTACAAAGAATTTAAGGGTTATATTAGTACAAGTGATATTAAAATACCTAAGTTAGCTAAATAATATATATAGAATGTCCGAACCTAGATTATTAATTATTAATATATCAATATTATTTGTTCAAATCGAATTACAAAGCATGATTTTACGTCAAGTAGGATTCCGAAGCACCAGAAGCAGCCACGTAGGCTCAACGCATTCTGGAATTATATATAGGAGGGATTTATCAAATAATTGTCGTTTTCGAATCTTTTAAACATATTTTTTCATTCGTAACATTATTTAATTAATACGATGAGTTTTCTCCTTTAAAATAATGTAAAAAAGCCTAGAAGAAAGAAATTAATTAATATTAATTTGCCTTAAATAAGGCAAATATTGACAATTTTTTTTTTTTTTAATTTATGTGTTAAAGCACAAAACGCCATTTTTTTTTAAAAAAAAGAGTGAATATCATTTTAGCCCGGATAAGTTATATATAAATCCTTGCTCTGCCCCTGCATGTCGCCGAGTAGCGTTATCTATCGTTTTTTTTTTTTGGATCACAGCCAAAATTACTGCCGGTTTTGATTGAGAAGCAGTCATACCACCGACAATATCTCTAGATGAATCGCTGAGTCCGCTCATCTGTCGATGACCCTCATGATGTACTGTCAATGCATGCAGGGGCGGATCTAGAATTTTTTTTTTTTT